CATTTTAAACACCATCCGAAAGCACAAAATGCAATAAACGTGGAATGAGATAAGACTGCATGTGGAAACTTGCATGTCGTTATGGACAGGTTTCAGTGGAGCCTCTAATCTAAGAAGAAGTAGGAAGAAAGGTCTGGTGATCTACCACAGAAAATCTACCATGGAAAAACCCTATGTCACAGCGGTCTGATCCGAAATTGATCACAGGGATGTTTGGGACTGGTCAGCAAACTAACACAGCCAGCCTGTGAAAAAGATGCTTGTTCATAGCATGAATGCTGAAACAAGAAGGAAGGCAGAGCATCCCCGCATCCAACCTCAGCTGGGACCACATGCAAATCCCCAGTCAGAGAACCTTAAGTTATGAGGAACAAAGAATACTTTAACAAAACAAAACTAGAACTGTTTGGAATCTTTTTCTGTTTGTAAGCGGAACATTTAAAATTCAGCCAGGGCTGTACTTTCGTGGCAAGGCTGATATCTTCTTGCTGCTCTTTCTGTGGTTTGCAGAACCGCTTTTGTATATATAATTAATCTAAAATGAGTAAAAATGTGCATTCTATTTGTGCAATCCATTTGGTGGAATTATAGCTCTTACCTGTCTTTCTGTGAGATGTAATCTGTTTCCAATGCTCAGAACACAGTTGGAAGCCTTGCAGTTTATTTAATTTAGATTTGTTTCGAGAAGCACAGTGGCTCTATAGGATAAGCATTGGACTGCGAATCACTAGGTCAGCAGTTCAAGTACCCTGACCACTCCCCAGGAGAAAGATGAGAGTCTGCTCTTTTAAAGACTGAGTCTCAGAAACCCTGTAAAGGGTCGCTATGAGTCAGAATCAACTCAACGGCACTTAACAACAATACGTCTTTTATGTTAGTAATTTTGCCTTTTCAGAAACATCTGATTTTAGATCTTTTTGTAAAAACTGACAAGCCCATAGGTAAGTGCCATGGCCTTTGTTTCAAGTTCTGATCCCTGTGGACGCTGGTATAGCCCTCCCTGACCTCTCTTCTTAGGGTCTGATTGAAGTTCTTCCAGGTCTTAGAGAAGGCTGCCTGACCTCTTTTGAAGACTCTTAGCTACAGGCCTTACTCATGCTGTACCCACTGCATGGAACGGGGCTGATTTCTTATTCTTCAAGTCTCTGTTCCAGGAAGCCTTTGGGACTGCCCCAGCCTACAACACTCCTCTCACATGGGCAGATGAGGCCATGTTTTCCTATCTTTGAAGGTGGGCGCAAATAGGGGTGGAGTCCAGTAGCAGAGGATGAGTGGCAAGTTGCTGCCTTTGTCCACTTTGAAGTCGGGACCATCCAGCAAGCGCCTCTCTCTCCAACTCCCAATTTTTTGCCATCTCTGTTTTCCCTGGTCTGGGCATACCTTCCCTGTCCAGCTTCCCTTCCGTTTCCCTGCTGGACCACTCAGTGACCCTGCTGCTTTTCCCCACACTGGGAGCTCCTTTTAGACCTGTTGTTGGCTAGATAGAGTTCTCCTAATCTTATCTCTCCTGCTGTTCGGCTCATTGCCACCTGGGCCTGAATCTCCTCCCCTCTGCCTGCCTGAGACCTCCTCTCCAGCCTTTTTGGCACCTGTGCCTGGTTGTTAACAGCAGCCCGGGGTTAGCAGCAGCCCACTTGGGCACTGGGCCAGCAGGGTGCATTCAGGAAGTGGTATCGAGTGTGGGCATGGGCTAAGCCACTCCCTTCCTCTCTGCCAGGCTCTACTTCCCTCTGGCCCCAAATGCAAAAGAATTCATTCAGCCAATCCCAGCCTAACTTCAGAGAAGCTAGGTAGCATAAGCAGATATAGACTTCACCTGGTGTCACTGACTAGATGTCCGGCAGTGAATGATCTTCTCTGAATAACAGCCCACAATGACACCTTTGTTCGAATTCCTGGGTCCTGTGAATGTGTCACCTTTTAGGTGGCACAAGGCCCCTGCAGACGTGACAAGGGTTGTGAGGTGGAGAGATGACCCTAGAGATGAGGGAACATTCATTCTAAGAGGGTGGCAAGGGGTCAGAGGGAGACAGTGCAGTGGGCTTTCAAGCTGGGTGTGTATCAGTATCTATTGCTGTGTAGGAGTCCTGGTGTGGCGCTGTGGGTTAATGTGCCAGACTTCAAAGCCTTTGAACTACAAGGTTGGCGGTTCAAGCTCACCAGCTGCTCCTCAGAAACCCTATACAGGGTCGCTGTGGGTCGGAACCAACTTGACTGCACTTAACAACAACATTGCTGTGTAACCCATTGCCCCTAAACACAGTAGCCTGATTATGCCTCTTTGTTATCTCAGACAGGGTCTGTGAGTCAGGGATCCAGAAATGGCTTAGTTGGATGGCTGTGGTTTAAGGTCCCTCATGAAATTGTGTGAAGATGCTAGTTGGGGCTACAGTCATCTATAGACTTCACTGGGCTGGGGATCTTCTTCCAGGGTTATTGATGAGGTCTCCCCACACAGGCCTCTCCCTTACAACTTTGGCAGCAGACCCTTAACCCAGAATAAGCGATCCAAGGGCAAAATGAAAGCTTCATGTGTTTTTGCTCTTTGTTCTTTTAATATTTTCTTGTGTTTTCAGTGAAGGTTTACACAGTAGTTTAGATTCCCATTTGGTAATTTCTACACAAAGTAGTCAGGGATATGGGTGACATTCTTCACAATTCATGCACATTCTCATTGTTTCTCTTCTGGTTGTTCTGTGTGTATTCATCTAGTTGCCCTGCTCCCTTACATTCTCATCTTCTGTTTTAAAGTGATAGTTGACCGTTGGCTTCTTACAGGTGATTTTTGGAAAGGAGTACAACACTTAACAGCCTTCTATCTCTCAGGATTTCCCTGTTATTATAGGCTGTTCATATACATGAAATCATATATTTGTTATTGTTATATGCCCTTGAGTCATAGCGACCCTGAATAGGGTTTCCAAGGAGCAGCTGATGAGCTTGATCCGCCAACCTTGCAGTTAGCAGTTCACTGCTTACCATGACTCCAATTATATAATGTTCAGTTCTGACTTATCGCAACTCTGTCTAGGGTTTCTGAGATGCAACTGATGGGTTTGAATAGTTAGCAGTCCAGTGCTTGTCCAGTAGTGACACACCAGCATTTCAATCATATAATGTTGTTGTTAAGTGCTGTCGAGTCAGTTCCAATTCACAGTGACCCTGTATAGGGTTTCTGAGGAATGACTGGTGGGTTTGAACCACCGACCTTACAATTAGCAATCAAGTGCTTATTCTACAATGCCATACCAGAATTCATATATTAGATAGCCTTTTATGACCTATTTCTTTCATTTGTTAAGTGACTCCTAACGACCCTGTATAGGGTTTCCGAGAAGCAGCTGGTGAATTTGAACCACCGACCTTGCAATTCAAACCAACCTTGGGGTCTAGCCCATCAACTCACAGCTCCACACGTTACTTACATAATGTTCTCAAGATTCACTCATGTTGTAGCATCTGCCAAGTATCAATACTTCATTCATTTTTATGGCTGAATAACGCCACCGTATGAATCGATCACCTCTTGTTTATCCGTGGTCATTTAGGTTGTGTCCACTCTTTGGCCATTATAAAACATGCAGCTGTGAATATTTGTATGCAAGTTTTTGCATGGACTTTAGTTTTCATTCCTCTGGGGGTAGATATCTAAAAATAGAATTTGCTAGGTCAAATGGCAAATCTATATTTAACATTTGAGGAGCTCCCAGACTGCTTTGCAAAGTGGCTGTACTGTTTAGCACTCCTACCAGCAGTGTACAAAGGTTTGAATTACTCAGGAACACATTTCTGTATCACACCCTCGTTTGTGTGCGGTGGTGTGTCGTGGTGGTGTTGATTTGCATTTCTTTGATGGTGAACATTGTTGAGCAAGGTTTTCATGTGCTTATTGGCTATTTGTGTATCTAATTTGGAAAAATAATCTATTCAAATCCTTTACTTATCTTTTCCTTAGGTTCTTTGTGTTTTCATTATTGAGTTATGTAGGAGTTCTTTCTTTCTTCTTTTTCTATCCTAGATACAAGTTCCTTATCAGACTGTTGACTTGCAAAAATTTCCTTGTAAAGACATGTCTTTTTACTTTCTTGATAGTACTCTATGAAGCAGAAAGCTTTTTAATTTTGATGAAGTTCATTTTATGTTTTCTTTTGTTGCTCATACTTTTGATGTCATGGCACAAAATCCATTGCTGAATCCAGGACCACAAAGATTTACCTCTATGTTTGCTTCTGAAAGTTTAATGGTTTGTACTTTTACATTTAGGTCTTTGGTCTGTTTTGAGCTGATATTTGTGTATGTTGTGAAGTTAGGGATCCAACTTTATTCTTTTGTATGTGGAAATCCAGTTGTCCCGACATCAATTGTTGTAAAGATTATGCTTTTCCCATCTAATTGGGTATATTTCTGGATTCTTGTGGCATTGTAGGATGAACACTGGACCGCAAGTCAGTTTGAACTGCAAGATTGGTGGTTCAGACTCATCAGCCGCTTCTTGGAAACTATACCGTGTCTGTCTGAATTGGAACTGACTCAGTGGCACTTAACAATAACAACTCTATTCTAGTGATCTATGATCTATGTGTACATCCTATGTTCTCATGACTGGAGCTTTGTAATACATTTAGAAACTTAAGAAATAATGAATCCTTCCCTTTTTTTTTTTTTAAATTTAAGATTATTTGGGCTCTTGTGGATCCCTTGTGTTTTCTTAAGAATTCTGGGAACGGCTTGCCACTTTTTACAAAAGAACCAGCTGGGATTCTGATAACGGATTACACTGAATTTCTAGGTCAATTTGAGGGTGGCATGTCTTCCCCAAGGAAGGGGTTTTGGGGCTGAGTGTCTGACAGAACCCAAACTGCATCACGCTCTTATGAACCATGGCAGCTGAGTCCCATCCACTTTCTTTCTTGTCTTTGGTGTGCCTTCCCTAAGAAGGGGTTCTTGGGCTGAGTGTCTGGCAAATCCCACATCGTATCGCATTCCTTCCTGTGTTTCAGGCAGTCGGTAAAGATTGTGTATTCCTCCAAGGACCCTGCCAAACCCAAAGGTGGGGGCTCCAAGGTGGATGTGAATGAGGAGGCAGAGGCTTTGATCATCAAGACCCCTCAGAAGGAGCGGAAGCCATCCCTATTCAAGGTGTTATACAAGACCTTTGGGCCCTACTTCCTCATGAGCTTCCTATTTAAGGCTCTCCATGACCTGATGATGTTTGCTGGCCCGGAAATCTTAAAGTAAGTAAGACCCCTTCCCTCCCAGCGGGGCTCCGTTGGTCTTTCTTAGTTTGACCTCGCACCTGTGGCATGCTCAGGTGGGTGTACAGTTGTCTCCTTCTTTACCTGCTTCGCTTTATACCTTACAAGTCCTATATATACAAGTGCAAGTCAAAAAGTAGTGCTTCTAGGGTTCCAGTTCATACATGCACGGGTTTATTCCAAGCAAAATGTGTTTCAGCGAATGGTGGCAGCCAAAGTCCTCTGAGTAAGTAATACCCTTGTTTTAGTCTCCTTAGGGTGCCTTCAGAAAAGAGTGGATCAAAACAGTGGCTTCCTAGAGGGATTTGCTAAGCCAGGTCAATTCTAGGCAGAGAGGTCAGCTCAGAAGGTTTTAGAGACTTCTTTGGGATTCCCAAGGGGTCATTTTGATAGATTTTCCTGATGGACTCAGGATCATCATGAGAGCTTATTAAGAGAAGTTTTAAGAAAATTGAAAACTTGCATTGGTGAGAAAAAGACCAGCAATGTTATACCATTGAGTTTTTTTCCATCATGACCACGCACTTGCTTATTCTCTCAGGGTAATGAGGGCTGTCCTAGGAGAGTTTGATTGGGACACCACCCTCCAGCTCTAATCTTGACCCTTCAGACTTCTTTTTGTTCCCCAAACTCAGAGAACATTTCAAAGGAACATGATTTTGGTCTCTCGAGAATGCTAAAACTGCTGTTTTGATATGGTATAAATCAGAGCACACAATTCTTTGGAATTCTGCCTTCAGATGTGTGTAAACCTAAATGGAGGTTGTGTCAAGAAACAATAGCTTCACATTTTGATATTTTTGTTGTACAAAGGGTTCTATGATTTTGTAGCAAGACTTTTTGACTTAGCCTGCATGGTGGTGGGTGGTTGTGTGTCGTGGTGTCGGTTCCAGATCATAGCATTCCTGTGTAGTGTTTCCGAGGCTGTACATCTTTATGGGAGCAGAAAGCCTCATCTTTCTCCCATGGAGTGACTGGTAGATTGGAACTACTGACCTTCAATTAGCAGCTCTCATAGATATGTTGAATGTATACACATATCCATGCACATGCACACAGGGGGGCTTCAAAAAGCTAGTGGAAAATGGGACTAGAAAGATCATGGAATTTTACCACAAATAGTTTGTGATATATATTATATGTTGTGTATATGTATGTGTTTGTGTGTATATGGTGTGGTGATAGACTGCAAGATCAGTTTGAACCACAGATTGGTGGCTCAAACCCACCAAACCGCTCCTTGGAAACCCTATACAAGGTCACTATGGGTCGGAACCGACTCGATGACATGTTCTTTTATATATAAGTATGTATGCATGCATATATATGTGTGTGTATATATATATATACCTATACACACATGTAGTGTATGTGTACATATATACATGTGTGTGTTGTGTGTATGTATATGTGTGTGTATATATATATACCTATACACACATGTAGTGTATGTGTACATATATACATGTGTGTGTTGTGTGTATGTATATACATATATATATATATATGTATGTATATAAACACACACACAGGAGTCCTGGTGGAGCACTATGGGTTAATGCGCCAGACTGCAAAGCTGTTTGAACTGCAAGGTTGGTGGTTCAAACTCACCAGTTTGTCCTTGGAAACCCTATACAGGATCAGAACCCTGTGGATCAGAACTGACTTGATGGCACTTACAACAACAGTATATATATACATACATACTGTTGTTGTTAAGTACCGTGGAGTCGGTTCCGACTCACATGTATATATGTATAGAATACATATATGTATATACATATACATATATATATATATATGGAGAGAGAGAGAGACAGAGATCTGATGTGTCACTGTAGGATAAGCACTGGACTGCTAACCTTAAGGTTGGCAGTTAAAACCCACCCACCACTACTAAGATACCTTCCACAGGATTTATATATTTAAATATATTGTTATTGTGTGCTACTGAGTTGATTCTGACTCATAGCGACCCAATACAGGGTTTCCAAGATAGGGGAACAGAAAGCTTCATTTTTCTCCTACAGAGTAGCTGGTGGGTTTGAACTGCCAACCTGAAGGTTAGCAGTCTGGTGCTTATCCTACAATGTCACTCATATATATACGTGTGTGTGTGTGTGTGTGTGTATTTATACACACATACAGTATATGTGTATATGTATGTATACATGTATATATGTATATATGTGTGTGTATATGTATACACATATACATGGGTGTATATATACATATTCCGCGGGAGAAAGATGAGGCTTTCTACTCCCGTAAAGATTTACACCCTCGGAAACCCTATACAGGGTCGCTATGGGTCGGAACCGACTCGATGGCACATAACAACAACAACAACATATATACATATATGCATGCGTACATATACATATATGTATGTGTGTATATATGTATGTGTATGTATGTATATACACATATATGTGTATGTGTGTGTGTGTATATACGGGACCATCTCTCTGTGGGCCTCTCATTCCATCTGTAAACTGGGAGCAGTGACTGATGAGGAGAAAGTCCGACTGCTGACCCCATGCTGGATTTTCCTTGTTCCTGGCAGGCTGCTCATCAACTTTGTCGAGGACGAGCAGGCCCCGGCCTGGCAGGGCTACTTCTACACTGTGCTGCTCTTCGTCTGTGCCTGCCTCCAGACCCTGGTGCTGCACCAGTACTTCCACATCTGCTTTGTCAGCGGCATGCGCATCAAGACTGCTGTCATTGGAGCCATCTACCGGAAGGTAGGAGAGGCTGTCTGTGACACCCATGTGCAGTGGCTGGGTCATTTGGGATGGGTCTGAGGGGGTCTTAGATTTTCAGTGCTCCCATAACAAATGCCACAAGTAGCTAGTTTTCAAGAACAGGAAAGGGATTCTCTGTGCATTGAGAAGGTGAGAAGTTCGACTCCCGGGCACCAGCTATAGGAGAATGTGGTCTGTTGGCTCTAGGGGAAGGTCCTCCTCTCTGCTTCTAGAGCTTGATTTCTCGATGGCTTAGTTCTCCAGGGTTGCTAGAACAGAAATAGCACAAGGGGTGACTTTAACAAACAGAAGTTTATTTTTTCGCAGTTTAAGGGGCTAGAAGTTAGAATTCAGGGCAACGACTGTAAGGGAAGGCTTGCTCTCTGTTGACTCTGGGGAGAAAGTCCTTGTCTCTTCTGTTTCTTTTCCTGTGTGATCATACAGCATGGTATCTGCTTTCCCCCACCTCTGCTTGTTTCCTTGCTTAATCTGCTCTTATTTACCCCAGAAGATTGACTTAAATCACACCCTCCATTAATATAACAACATCCGTTCCCAAACAGTTTTTTGCCTTGAGTCCATTCTGATTCATGACTATCTTATAAGACAAGAGTAGTGTCCCCCCAAAACAACAACAACAACAACAGGGAATAGAAGCAAATACTGTTGAATGATGATACATGAAGGAGATTGTAATCATTGCAATGAAATGGTGTAAAACCGATGTTCTCTCATGTAAATTATCACTCAGTTCACAATAAAAAGATTTTTTTAAAAAGTCAGAGTAGGACTGCCCCATCGGGTTCCCAAGGCTGTTGTCATTACCGTAGCACATAGCCACAGCTTTCTCCCGTGGAGTGACGTGTGGTTTGGTTAAGAGCCAAGTGCTTAGCCGCTGCACCACCAGGCTCCTTAACCGTAGGTATGTTGTTGTTGCTGTTGAGTGCCATCCAGTTGGTTCCGACTCATAGTGACCTTTACAGAAGCAGACAGCCTCATCTTTCTCCTGCCTTACATGGCCTCATTAACAGAAGACAGAGAACCCTCTCCAAATGGGGCTGCATCCACAGGTACAGGGGTTGTTAGGGTTCCAGCACAGTGAGATGAGAGGGTCTGTACCCCTGTGGATGCCAAAGATGTGACCCTACAGAGCTCAGGTCACTGGTCAGCCTGAGAACATCACTGCGTCCCCATGTCAGCTGTGGGGAATTGAGTTCCTTAGGTGGACCTCTTCAAAGTGTCCAAGAGCAAAGATGTCAGTTTGAGGAATAAGGTGCATCTGACCCAAGCCATGGTGTTTTCAGTCTCCTCCTATGCATGTGAAAGTTGGACAGTGAAGAAGGAAGACCGTAGAAGAACTGATGCAGCTGAGTGATGGTGTTGGAGGAGAAAGTATCATGGACTGCCAAGAGAACCAATAAATCTGTGTTGGAAGAAGTACAATTGGAGAGCTCAATAGAATAGAAGCCAGAATGACCAGACTTTGTCTCTCATATTTTGGACATATTTATCAGGAGGGACCAGGAGAAGGACATCATGCTAACTAAAGTAGAATGTCAGTGGAAAAGAGGAAGACCCCAACCCCAGTGAGATGGAATGACACCGTAGCAGCAGCGATGGGCTCAAGAGTAACAATGATTGTGAGGATGGCTCAGAGCGTACTCGAAGGCACCTAACAACTACAACAGTTGGATTGGTGGCCTTTGATTTGGGGAGATCCGAGTTTAAATCCTCAGTGTACTTTGTGTTTTGGGGGCTGCTTCTAACTCGCTCTTTGATCTGAGGAGGTGATTCCCCAGGAGACAGGACTTAACAGGCGTTTGTGCTCACTCAGTTTTTGTTGTTTTTTTCCTTTAAATATTATTTATTTTGTAACTGTTGAGACTAAACACAGCAAAGCATGCACCAATTCAACCGTTTCTGTAAGTATATGTCAGCGACGTTGATTACATTCTTCCAGTTGTCCACTTATTATCAGCCTCCTTTTCTGAATTGTTCCTCCTCCATTAACAACTCAGCTCAGATTGCGAGTTAGAAGCAGTTCACACATAGAGAGAGCAGAGGATTTGAACCCAGATCTCCCCAAATCAAAGACCACCAATTCACCTAAGAAACTCAGTTACCCATGGCTGACATGGGGGCTCAGGGACGTTCTCACATCGGGTCGTGAAGTAAGCTTAAATTCTTCCAGCTTGAGAAATGCTGAGCATGCTCTTCTCTTTTGAGTTTTGAACTTCAGGTCTTTCTTTGCACATTTCATCATACTTTATCTTCTCAAGCGACCCTTTGAGATCTTCTGTTCGGCTTTTACTTCAGAGTCTTTTTATAATGATTTTTTTGTTACTCTGTGTATGATGTCCTGGGTTACAAATGTTTGGTCTTTGGTTATAAAATGTTCCATGCATCAGTTTTGGTTTTTAAATGGTCTCTAACTTAGGGAACACTGTTCAAGCACATATTTTGACTCTTGTGGACTTGTTTTAATTTTCTTCAGCTTCAACTTGAACTTGGAAATTAGCTCTCCTTTTTCAAAAAAGCTTTTATTATGAATTGAGTGAAAGTTTACAGGGCAGGGTATCAGTTTTGTGTTCAACAAATCATATACTTTGTTTTATTACAATGATTATAATCCCTTCCATGTACCATTACTTAACAATATTTCTCTCTATTCATTTTAGCTCTTTTTTTAAAAAAAACACACATTTAGGCATATATAATAATTTGCACCACCAAAGGGCACATTCTGCAAGTCTGTCTCCTGGCTGCCAGCTCTCAGTCCCTCTCTTTCCATGAATCTAGAGTCCTCAGCTGCTCCTTTTCTCCATGTCCCCATCTCTGGTGTCGCTGCTTCTCTGGGTAAGGTCCTACATTCCGCTTATGCTCTTTTCCCTTGATTGTCCTAGGGTCCTCTGTTTCTGGACTGTAAGATTAACCACTCTTCTGTTTTTGTTACAAAACTTCTACCTTTACAGTTGTGACAGTCACAATTAGTCATGATAACAATTACTCACTATTGAATCATAAGAATCTTATCACCATCTCTTTTTACCATCTAGACAAGATGACTGCTATTCAGTGGGGAGTCTATCCCCCCACACACACACACTCTTAAACGAAACTCTCTCTTGAAACCTTCTAAGCCAGTCACTTCATTCCTTTATCACCCCCTCATTCTAGGTAGCCAATGTTTAAGTTGCCCGTCGCTATCTACCCTGTGTACAGAGGGGATTGTACACAGCATTGATACTTGATGTGACGAATCCTTCTTTCTCTGTTGGTATTTTGAGCTACTACCTCCATGAGTATAGGTCAAGTTCATGAAATTGTAACAATTTGCTCTTGTTTCCTTTATCAAAATTTGTTTTGTTATCTTCCTTTAGTCGAGTCCTGATTATCAAGCCATTGAGGCTAGGTCAGATGGGTACTATCTGAAAGTTTGGGTGTTCTTGTGCGTCAACCCTTACTTCATATCAGCTGGATACTTCACTCTCACCTCTAGCCCTCTGTGGCTATGTCCTTGTCCATGGGCTCAGGTGTCCCCAGGTTTCACTACATTATGGGCCAACCAGCCCTTACTCTTCTCTCTTTCATCTCCAGATCAACGGGAATCTGTGGCACGTGGTTGAACTCAGCCCACTTCTTCATTGCTGCCTTTCCCCCTCTTCCACTCACCAGTAGACCAGTGTGTTCACTAGCAAGTTTACATGCCTGCTCATGTGTTCCCTTTGAGTTTCAATCTTAGAGGGGGGTTTGTGCTGAAGGGACTTTAGATATGAGCTCTTGATGGCCTATTCCTCAGTCTGTGCCTAACCTTGTTTTGGCTGATATAGTTGATTTGATTCCTATTTATTCCATCTGGTGAGGTCTGTGTGTAGATTCTCCACTTAGGTTGTTAACAAAAGTTTTTGTGTTGAAATCAGTGGTTGGCCTAGCAAAATTCTATCACATGATCTGTGGTGTCATATCTTTCACCAAGGCCACATTTTCCAACTATTGATCCTTCTTTGTTTCAAATTTGAGTCACTAATAAATACCAGTACATCATAATTGCATGTTTGATCAATTACATACTTTAGAAGTTAATTAAAATCTTCAATTTCCTTATCTTTGGCTTTAGTGGTTTGTGTATATATTTGAATAATAGTCTTTTAACTGGTCTTTTTAGGCGTCTGGATGTTATCACTAACAGTATTGTATTTCAGGATAGACATTGAAATGTTTTTTGATGAATGTCATGGTGTGCCTCTTCAGATATTTGTTCTCAACATAGTAGACCGTATGATTGTCAGAATCAAAAAAGCTAATACCAGTATGCCTAGGATATTGATCTTTATGCTTTCCATTTCAATTTTGATGACTTCCAATTTTCATATATTTCATGTCCCAATTATATATGGATGGATGTTGGCAGGTGGTTTTGTTTTTGTTTTTTCTCATTTTGAGTTGTGCCCCACCAGCAAATGAATGTCATTAAGGTTGGCTCTACTTTGAGGAGGCAACTCTTTCCACAGCCATATTTTGAGTCCCTTCTGACCCGAGGGACACATATTCCAGACCTGTATCTGACAGTGTTCTCCTGCTGTTCACAAGGTTTTCTGGGGGGCCATCAGTATATGTGAAAACTCCTCAGGAGACAACTTTGCGACCCTGTTATGGATCAGTAGACTAGACCCGTGGTTCAGGACTGGGGCAGTTTCACTCCCAGGAGACATTTAATAAAGTTCAGAGCTGTTATTGTCACAACTAGAGAGGGAGTTCAACTGGCATGTAACTTGTGTGGCCTGGGATGATGCTGAGTATCCTTCAGGGCAGCCCCCAGCACAGAGAATGATCTGGTCCCAAATGCTAGGAGTGCTGAGGTTGAGCCACCCTTTCTTTGACCTTTGGTGCATCAGAATCGTCTGTGGACTAGCAGCATCCTGCCCTAGGGAGCTTGTGACAGGCACATGCAGAAGCTCAGGCCCCACCCCTGACCTACAGCGTCAGACCTGCCTCTTAGCAAACTCCACATGATTTGTGGGCACATTGATGTGTCAGAGTCCCTTCTAAATCCAAGGACTGAAGGTGGAGAGGTGGTCAGTGTTGATAAGAGGGTAGACTTTGTAATGAGATGGGTAGGCTGGACAGCTAGGTGAGCCGGCAGGGGGAGAGGATATCACTGTGATGTCCCCTGCTGAGCAGTGTCCTTTCTCTAAGTGACCCTGGAGAGAGAAGAGAGAGGGCTTCTAACCCACCACTCTCATTGTATTCCTCTGCTCTCTCCTGCAGGCCCTCGTGATCACCAATTCAGCCAGAAAGTCGTCCACAGTTGGGGAGATCGTCAATCTCATGTCTGTGGATGCCCAGCGGTTCATGGACCTGGCCACGTACATTAACATGATCTGGTCAGCCCCTCTGCAAGTCTTCTTCGCTCTCTACCTCCTGTGGCTGGTGTGTGTTTGCCGACTTTCCACGTGTGGGCAGTGGGGCTGAGGGAGGGCTATTGAGGATCAGAACAGCTGTCCCTCCCTGGTAGTCCTTCCTGTCATTCACGTTTGCCTTTTTTACTCGTTAGTCAATTCCTGAATATTTTATTCCTTCCCCTACATGATCTGGGTCATTTTTCTCTTTGGCAGCAGTGGTATTTGCTTGCTTTGGTCTTTCATGACAGTGTGTGTAATTTACAACCTGATGATTTTACATTGTATATATCCACTGTGTGTTCTCAGACTCTAGCCAAACTCATTTATTCTCTGCTCTTTAATTGTTTTGCTTAAGAGTCTCGGTTGCAAGGGCTAGAAATCCAGTTTACAATATGCTAAGCAAATAAAGGGAAATTGAGATGTGCAGATAGGGGACAAGTTCAGGTATGGATGGATCCAGGAGTTAAAGGGGGTGATGTGAGGACCTGATCAGGCTCTGTTTTCCTCTGAGTTGGCTTCCTTCTCGTATGTGATTTACCAACACCCTCTACAGTGTTGGGATTCTATCTTAACCAGATGTGGTGGTGGTGGCATGCCATAGAGTGGGTTCCAACTCATGGCAACCCTGTATAGGGTTTCTGAGGCTATAAATCTTTACTGGAGCACAATGCCTCATCTTTCTCCTGCAGGGAATGGCTGGTAGTTTCAAACTGCTGCCCAGCTTGTAACTACTATATTACCAGAGCTCCTTTCTCAAATGTGGTGGTATGCTGTCAAATGGGTTCTGACTCATAACGACCCTGTGTAGGGTTTCTGAGGCTTTAAGTCTATACAGGAGCAGAAAGCCTCATCTTTCTCCTGCGGAATAGCTAGTAGTTTCGAACTGCTGTCCTTGAGGTTTGCAGCCCAACTTGTATCCTTTTCTCAAATTTGTTGTTGTTGGTGTTAAGTGCCATTGAGTCGGTTCCAGCTCATAGCCACCCTGTATAGGGTTTCCAAGGAGTGGCTGGTGACCTTGAGCCGCCGACATTGCGGTTCTAACCAACTTTGCAGTCCAGTGCATTAACCCGTAGCACTATACCAGGGCTCCTTTCTCAAATATATTCTTGTTGCTATGTGTCGTCGAGTTGCTTCCGACCCATAGTGACCGTGCACAGGGTTTCTGAGGCTGTAAATCTTTACAGGAGCAAAAAGCCTCATCTTTTTCATGCGGAACCGCTAATAGTTTTGAAATGCTGACCTTAAGGTTGGCATCCCATTTGTAACTACTATGCTACCATAGTCTTCGATAAAAGAAGTCCTGGTGTGGCACTGTAGGTTAATGTGCCAGACTGCAAAGCCATTTGAACTGCAAGGTTGGAGGTTCAAATTCACCAGCTGTTCCTCAGAAACCCTATAGGAGAGGTCTCTATGGGTTGGAATCTACTAGAGGGCACTTCACAACAACAAAAGAGAATACCACACACCTTTTTCTCATCCAGAGACCCACGGAGGACTGGGATTGGCCTGCCTCAGGCCCATTCACTTCCCTGAACCAGTCACCACTGACCAAGAAGTTGTCCGGGATTGACCTGCAACAGGCCCATTCAATTCCCTGGACCAATCACCGCTGACCAGGAAGTCTCTGGGATTGGCCTGCCACAGTCCCATTCAATCCTGAACCAATCACTGCTAACCAGGAAGTTCTCTGGTTGGCCAGCCCTGATGACATGCCCTTTGTTAAAGAAGTGGGGGTTTTGTTATTGAAACCCCTTCCACTTCTACGTGGGTAGAGGCTGTTTCCCTCGAGAAAAGATGATAAGCAAAAATACCTGTGATATTACAGCTGCCTTGTTCTTTCTCACCTCCGAACCTTTGCACCGCACCTTAATATTTTCTCTGTAGCCAACATCCCACCCGTCCTTCAAGGCCTGTAACAGATGCCATTCACACTGATTTTCTCCCTCAGTCGGTGAACTTCTGCTTTTATTTGAATCCCTTTCACTTTAGTGTGAGGTGCCACCTGGTTTTACCTCCTGAAATAGTCTTGCATGCTTGATGTATCACCTCTCCTTACCTCTTGGTGTGCGACCTTCTCTCAGGCAGCTCACAGCATTTTACTTATTTCTGTGTCCTCTATGGATGCCGTCCCATCAGGGCTGGTGCACAGTAGGAGCACAACAAATCATCTGCTGATCTGACCGTTGTTGACACTCTCAGTGTACCAGGGGGCTTCAAAACATTTGTGGAAATTTTTCATTACGTTTCGGTTCCATTTTTCCACAGACATTTTGAAGTCCTCTTCAAACATTTTGTTGTAAGTTGAGTGAAGGTTTATAGAGCAAGTCATTGGTTTTACATCTAACTAATCAGACACTTCCGTTCATCTTCTTGTTATTAAGTGCCTTTGAGTCAGTTCTGACTCATAGCGACCCTATATAGGATTTCTGAGGAGCAGCTGGTGCTTTTGAATCACCTTGTGGTTAGCAGTCCAGTGCTTATCCTATAGTGCCACACCAAGACTTCTTTAGATGTGCTTGTTGTTAAGTGTCGCCGAGACGGTTACTGACTCATAGTGACCCTGTATAGGATTGCCGAGGAGCGGCTAATGTATATGAACTTCCTACCTTGCAGTTCAAGTCGATCTTGTGGTCTTGTGGTTTATCCTATGACACCACACTAAGACTCTGTTTATAGAATGTTGTTGTTACGTGCAGTGGAGTCAGTTCTGACCCATGGCAATCCTGTATACAATTTCCGAGGAGCAGCTGGTAGGTTTGAACCACTGACCTTGTGGTTTAAACTGATCTTGCAGTCCAGCGCATTCTCCTACAGCACCACAGCAGAAGGTAAATAATTATAACATGCTGGTGTGGCACTGTAGGATAAGCACTGGACTACTTCTAACTGAAAGACTGGTGGCATTTGACAACAATAAACAATGAAACTTGGGGTAATGGAATGGGAAATCTTACAGGGCATTTCGACTTTGTCCTTTAGGGCCACTGTCGAATTGACTCGGTGGTACACGTGAAGACCACATAGGGGGCTATATGAGAGGACCGTCTATGGAATCCTAACTGCCTGCATTCAAGTTTTCCCTCTTCCCATTTGCTAGTTCTGTGACTATTGGTGGTGGTGATGGTTATGTTGCCGTGGAGTCAGTTCTGACTCATAGCGACCCTGCATAGGGTTTCCGAGGCTGTAAATCGGTATGGGAGCAGAAAGCCTCATCTTTCTCCCGCGGGGAACAGCTGGTAATTTAGAACTGCTGACCTTAAAGTTAGCAGCCTGATTCGTAACCACTATGCTGCTGGAGCTCCTTCTGTGACTATTGGTGGCATGTTACTCAGTGCCTCTCAGTCTCACCTTCACCATCTACAGATTGGTGATAACAATAGTACCTCTTGTTTTAGGAATGTCCTAGGGGTATATACCTGGACTTTAAAGCAGGTCATGTTCCTAGAACCCTGCCCAGTACATCGATGTGTTCCATTGTATCTCGTTTTTGTTGGTGGCTGCTGTGAATCCCAACTCAAGGCAACCCTATGTGTGCAGTGTAGAGCTATGGGGGTTTCAAGGCTGTGAGATCGGAAGCAGATAGCCAAGCTTCTCTTCCTAGGAGTCTCTGGATGGGTTTGAACCATCAACCTTTTGGTTGATCATTAAATGCGTAACCATCCGCAAACCCAGGAACTCCTTAGCTATAATAGTCTTCTCTCAGAGTGGCCTGGCTGTGTACCGGTTGTCTGCAGAACTCCCATTCACCATCAAAGCTGGGTTAGTCTTCACCAGATGTGATGACGTTCAGAATCATGTGGAGCACCAACAGCATATTCCTGGGATTCAGATTCCAAGGATAAACACTTGTAAAGCTTTTGTGACCTAGAGAAAAGTAACACCACACAATCTAAAAATTCCATCTCTATGTTCCAGTTAGTAGATGTGCTCGGGGCTAACTTTTTTTTATCTGTGTAACTTACAAGGCAGTTGGAAGAGGCAGATCGCCATGTCTCTGCTGCTAACCCATTAATCTCTCTGGGACTTCATTTTCATGTTTGTAAATGAGATAAATAAACCCACCAGCAACTCCTTGGAAACCCTACACAGAGTCAGTATGAGTCAGAACTTAAAACAACAACAACAACAAATGGGATAAAATAACACATCAAAGACCTCTTAGTTACAAATCCAATCATCAAAATGCTCTGGAAACCTAAAGGCTTTCTCTGAACAAGTCAGGTGACAAAAACCTGACTTGAAATGCCTGGAGGGTATTTATGGTCTTGATCATCATCCCTGTAGATGTTAAGAGTCCTTTTTTTGTTGCCAGACACCAGCACATTTGATTATGAGGTTGTGAAGTGGCTAAAGTGCTTACCTACTGTCCTAGAGTTTAACAGTTTGAATCTGTTAGCTGTTGCTGCAGAGGAACTATATGGCAGTCTGCTTCTAGAAAGATGACAGCCTTGGAAACCCTATAGGGTAGTTCTACCATCTCCTAAAGGATCACTGAGTCAGAAGCTACTTGCTGGCTATGGGTTTCGTTTGGTGTTTTGGTCCTTGAACTTGCTGGGCATGTAATACAATCTATGGCATGTGCTCCCGTGTCAGATTCCCCATGACCTCCCCCAGGCTTGCCAACTTGCTAGATGGATACACCAGAGTCAGCAGTTGGTTGTCCTTGTAACTATCATTCCTAACAATGAAATGATTCACAACAAAATCAGCAAAGGGAAAAGGTGCATCAATGGTAGTCAGTGGGAGTGGGGTGGGGTGTGTGTGTGTGTGCATGCACAAACTCCCCGGGGACTGCTCCCTTGGGGAGATATACTTAATGCCCCCAGCAACCCGTTCTGGAAATAGGTGTGAGATGTTGTCCACCTGGGAGGCTTATTAGATAGACTCAGTGCCTGAGGTTTTCATTGGGAGCTGGTCATGTAGGCAGCCTCGACTTGGCACAAATCCAAATTCCAGATTCCCAGAAGGAAGAGGGGTGTTCACATAAACTATGTTTGTGAAAGCAATTTATTAAATGTACTCAGTTGGTTCCGACACATAACAACCTTGATAGGGTTTCCATTGGGACAGCTGGTAGAGTTGAACCCCAGACCTCACTATTACCATTCCATGCTAACCCTACAGCACCACACACGAAAACCCAATCCCATTGCCATCTAGTTGATTCTGACTCGGAGCGACCCTGTTGGACAGAGTAGACCTGCCCCTGGAGTTTCCAAAGCTGTATTACGTCTTCCTGGAAGCAGACTGCCTCCTCTTTCTCCTGCAGAGTGGCTGGTGGGTTCTATCACTGACCTTATCGTTAGCAGTCAACTGCTTAACAACTGTGGCATCTCAGCTTGCCTAGTTTAGGCCCAGTGGGCCATTCGTCAGTTAGGAAAATGGTGGGGACTCTTCTGAAATCCAAGTTCCCAGACACCAGCCAAGAGTCTCCTCATCAGTAGGGTGTGTGTTTTATTTTAAATAACATTTTATTGAGTTTCTGGTCAAAAGTTGGATAGCAAATGAGTTCCCATTTGACAGTCCCTATAACACTTGTTCGGAGTCCTGGTGTGGTGCTGTGGGTTTAATGCACTGGACTGTGAAGTCATTTGAACCACAAGGTTGGCAGTTCAAGCCCCCAGCCGCTCCTTGGAAACCATATAAAGGGTCTCTGTGGGTCGGCACCAACTCGACGGCACTTGAAAACAACAACAGATACCACTTTTTCAGTGACATAAAGGCACGCTATATGTTAACTCCTGTCTTCACAGTCCTTTTTAATTTTCTAAAATTCTGATTTGTAAGACTCCTCTGGTCTCAGGAGATAAGGGATGGTGGACCTGCATCTTCTTAAAGGGGCTGGAGAGATGCTTGGGGATAAATTTGCAAACTGTTGCCATCCCACTGTTGAAAAAAAAAAAGTAATGTCAACTGCTGAAAACTTCCCTGACTGAATTGCAGTTGGGTGGGTGGGGTGGGCCTGGGGTTGAGGTTCTTTCCTGTCTGGTGAGAATCATGAGTCTCTCTTCCTTTCTCAGACCCTGGGTCCATCTGTCCTGGCTGGGGTGGCTGTGATGATCCTTATGGTCCCTCTCAATGCTGTGATGGCCATGAAGACCAAGACCTACCAGGTAGGTGTCTGTTTGCACTGAGCTCCCACCAGGCCCTCACTTGAGGCCTTCCCACTCGGTGTTAACAGCGGTCCTTCTCTTCAAACTCTGAACCTCTCAGCTCTGCCTTCCTGTTCTAGTCACCTGGGCATCTGTAGCAAAGGCAGATGCTTACAACCCGGCATTCTGATTCCCTTCATGTACATGGGGCCTGGGTATTGGGACTTTTACAGCTTCCTGAGTGATTCCTGTGGGCAGCCAAGGTTGTGGGTTCCTGAGTTAGACCCAATGGGTTAGCAGTTGAAATCACAGTGAACCTCAACAGACTCTATTTCCCAGGGGATTGATTCAGGAGTCTTGGTGGCACCATGATTAAGTGTTTGGCTGCTAACTGAAATTTGCTGCTGTTGTTGTGTGCCATCAAGTTCGCTCCAACTCCCAGAGACCTTGTATAGGGTTTCCGAGGAGCAGCTGGTGACTTTGAACCGTCATCCTTGTGGTTTAAACCAGTCTCGTGGTCTAGTACTGATCCTATAGTGCCGCACCAGGATTCCAACATATGTACCTGTGGGACTTCAAAAAGTGTGTGGGAAAGTGGGATAAAAAGAGAATGGAATTTTTCCATGCATTTTTTGAAGCACCTTCATATGTGTATGCTAATTCCTTACTTTTTTCTATTGATCTCTTAATTTACACTCGGCTCTGTTTTAAACTTATTACGCTTTAGAGAGTGTTTGGATTTTTAAAGTTTTAAATACATAAGTCATAGAGTGTTTCTCATTATTTAAAAAGTTCAAATAATACAAAGTATATAAAGTAAGGGCTCTGGGATAGTGCAGTAGGATAAACCCTGGACTGCTGATCACAAGGTCAGTGGTTCAAACCCACCAAGCCACTCATCAGAAACCCTATATGGCACTTAACAACAACGTAAAGATTCAGACAGGTTGCTCCTCCCTCCTACCCTTGGAACTTTTGTGAACACATTGAAGCTAATCCTTCTAGCACTTTCGAGGCCCTTTGTAGAGATCTGAAGTACATACCTAGGCATGGAGTGTGTGTGCTCTTGTGGTCCTGGAACTCTGCGTCTTTGTCACAATTGGGCCAGTTCAGTAGCATTCTGTCATTTTCACACCATGGAAAGAGAAGCTGGGTGGCAGGACATAATGTTTAACAACCATACGGCATGGCCATATATCATTAGAACTCACGTCAGCGAGCACAGAACTATCTTAGTACCTTAGCAACCATATAGTGGGTGGAAATCAATAAGGAAAATCGCATCTGCTCTGCATTTCAATCAGCACAGTAGGGCCTCTTGCCTTGACACCAAGCAAGCTATTCAAATTTTTATTGCTTGACTCCAAGAGGCCTGGTATGGCACTGTTGGATAAGCACTCGACTGCAAGGTCGGCAGTTCAAGCTCATCAGCTGCTCCTCAGAAACCCTTTTCAGGGTCACTGAGTTGGAACTGACTTGAAGGCACTTAACAACAGCAACAACAACAACAAAGTTTAATAGGCTTTCCTTCACATCTAACTTAACCTGATTCAAAGCAGGTGTGGTCTTGGGAGCCCTGGTGGCATGGTGACTACAGCATCCAGCTGCTAACTGGAAGGTTGGTGGTTCAAGCCCATCGACTGCTCCAAGGGGAGAACGATGTGGCCATTTGCTTTTGTAAAGATTTACCACCTTGGAAACCCTCAGGGGCAGTTCCATTCTGTATGATAAGACAGTTATGGGTAAGAATCATCTCAAGGGCATTGGATTCAGTTGAGGTTTTGGAGTGGTCTCAGGGCAGAGTACATATGAGGAGATTTCAAAAAGTTTGTGGAAAAATTCCATGCTCTTTGAATTCAGTTTCTCCATGGACTTTTTGAAGCCCCCTCATACAGTTCATAGTAATATAGACCAGTTGCCGTGGAATTGGTGCCAAGTCATGGTGTGACCTTGTGTGTGTCAGTGGAATTCTGCTCTCGAGGGTTTTCATAGACACCATGCCTTTATTCTGAGGCACTTCTGAGTGAACTCAAACCACTCAGAGACTCCTCAAAGGAGCTCTGGTAGCGTAGTGGTTACGAATTGGGCTGCGAACCTCAAGGTCAGCAGTTCGAAACTACCAGCCGTTCCGCGGGAGAAAGATGAGGCTTTCTGCTCCTGTAAAGATTTACAGCCTCGGAAAGCCCTGTCCAGGGTTGTTTTGAGTTGGAGCCAACTCCACGGCACATAACTGCCAACCACCACCACCAGAGACTCCTCATAGAAATGACTGAATCTGCTTTCCCATCACCCAGAAGACCCTCCCTTTCTAATGAATGAGGATGTCATGTGCTGTTTCCCTGTGGGCATTGAGAAACCAGGGACCCTAAGTGAGTGGCTTGCCCCTAGCTGCAGTGTTGACTGGGTGTCCTTCTCTTCAAAGGTAGCTCACATGAAGAGCAAAGACAATCGGATTAAGTTGATGAATGAAATTCTCAATGGGGTCAAAGTCCTCAAGCTTTACGCCTGGGAGCTGGCCTTCAAAGAGAAGGTATTGACCATCCGGCAGGAGGAGCTGAAGGTGTTGAAAAAGTCTGCTTACCTGGCAGCCATGGGCACCTTCACCTGGGTCTGCACACCTTTCCTGGTGAGTGAAGTCAAACATTTATCCCAGCCCACTTTGCTTTCTCTTTCATACTTAAATGTTTTCCAGACTTTCACGGGGCAGTCTTTCTAATATGCCCTCCCTTTCCCTTTTTTATTTTTTATTGTGGTAAATACATATATAACAAAGCATTTATTCACAGGGCTTGATACCTTCTAGCCCAGGAATACCCAAAAGCAGCCAGTTCAGGAAGTCTTTGGTACAGGTCCACTGTGGGGTAGGGTCTTGTAACAGAATGTGAACCAGTGTTCTCTGCTTCCTCTGTGGAGAAAGTCTTGCTGTGAAAAAAATATCAGCTCACCAAAACAGTGAGCTTGGTGCCATAGTTGATCTGCTTTATGGGGCCAGCTCCTTGGGTCTTTGCCAAATGTCAGTCACAAACTGTGGGTTGACAAGTGTCCATGAACGACACGCTGATTAGTACTGCTGTACGTACTGACGTTGGCTTGTCTTGTTTATTGTCTGCTTCTCCCTGCTGGAATATCAGCTTCTGGAGAGCAAGTACATGTGTCTTTTCTCTTCATTGCTATCTTCTCGGTACATAGTAGGTGCTCAGCAAATATTTGTTGTTCCTTGAAAACAAACACACACTACAGACTGCTATAAACTGAGAAAGACATTCTCCTCCCTTCCTCCTCCTTTCTAGTCCTTCTCCTCCAAAGTGACAAGTTTTGGGTTTCTTTTCAGAAAAAAATGTTTATGCACAATAGAGATTTGAAGATATTTTTAGTATATTCAGAAGGAGTCATACTATACAAGTATTCTGTATCTTTTTTTGGTTCATGCATTCAGATCTGCTTTGTTGATTTTAAGGACTTAGCTGGTGTACCCGGTGCAGGAACGTGCTGTATTTTACTTACCTTGTCTCCCAGATGCTGACCATTTAGATTGGTTCTCATTATCTGCCTTTATGATCTTTAATTCATAGAACATACCAGTTCATGGCCTGGGCTACTTTAATGTGTCTATTCCAATGCAATGATTATTCAGTCTGTATGCTGAGCAAATAATCTGAGAAAAGCTGGATCATATGAAGAAAAATTGGCATCAGGATTGGAAGAAGACTCATTAACAATCTGTAATTTGCAGATGATGCAACCTTGCTTGCTGGAAGCCAAGAGGATTTAAAATACTGAAGATCAAAGACTACAGCCTTCAGTATGGATTGCACTTCAGTGTAAAGAAAACAAAAATTCTCTCAACTAGTCCAATAAATAACATCATGATAAATGGAGAAATGATTGAAGTTGTCAAAGACTTCATTTTGCTTAGAGCCACAATTAACATTCAGCAGTAAAGAAATCAAAGGATGTATTACATTAGGCAAATCTGCACAATACCTCTTTAAAGTGTTCAAGAGCAAACATGTCAGTTTGAAGACTAAGGCGGGCCTGTCCCAAGCCTTGGTATTTTCAGTAGCCTCATATGTATGTGATAGTTAGACAGTGAGTAAGGAAGACCAGAGAAGAAATGATGCATTTGAATTATGGTGTTGTCAAACAATACGTAAAGTCCTCTGGACTGCCAGAAGAAGAAACAAATCTCTGTTGGAAGAAATACAGCCAGAATGCTCCTAGAAGCCAGGATGGTCAGCCTTCATCTCACATCTTGAGACATCTTATCAGGGAGGACCAGTTTCTAGAGGACATCATGATTGCATGAAAGAGAAGACCCTCGATGAGATGGGTTGACCACAGCAACAGTTGTGAGAATGGCAGTGTCTGTTGTACACTGAGTTGGTATGAATCAGAACTGACTCACTGACACGTACGTAACAACAACACATTTAGTCCAACGTAACAGTGAGTATATGTAATTATACTCATATACCTCATTTATTTTACTCTTACACAAGTGACAACATATTGCATCATATTATATTATGCTATACTCTGGTAGCGTAGTGGTAACAAGTTGGGCTGCTAACGTCAAAGTCAGTAGTTCAAAACTACCAGCGGTTCTGCAGAAGATGAGGCTTTCTGCTCCCGTAAAGATATACCGCCTCAGAAACCCTATGCCAGGTCACTATGGATTAGAGCTGACTCGACGGTGCTTTACAACTGCAACATATCCTACTATACTGTTGTTAAGTGCTGTTGATTAGGCTCCAATTCATGGTGACCCTGTATAAGGAGTCACTTCCAAGGAGCAGCTGGTGAGTTTGAGCCTTGAACCTTATGCTTCAAACTGACCTTGCAATTCAGTGCATTATCCTACAGCACCATACCAGGACTCATTAGGTATATTATATCATATTAAGTTATATTTGGCATCCTGGTGTGGCACTGTGGGTTAATGTGCTGGACTGCAAAGTCAGTTTGAACCACAGGGTCAGCGGTTCAAGCTCACTAGCCGCTTCTTGGAAACTTTATACAGGCTCGCTATGAGTTAGACCCTACTCAACAGCACTTAACAATACTGTTAGGTTATATCAATATAGTTATACTATTATATATATGGTACTATACGCTCATTTAAGGAGCTCTGGTAGCGTAGTGGTTACGAATCGGGCTGCGAACTTTAAGGTCAGCGGTTCGAAACTACCAGTCGCTCCGCGGGAGAAAGATGAGGCTTTCTACTCCTGTAAAGATTTACACCCTTGGAAACCCTGTACAGGGTCGCTATGGGTCGGACCCGACTCGATGGCACTTAACAACAACAACAATACGCTCATTTATGATTTGTGTTCTTTTACATAGGTTAAGATCTGTTGCCTGAGGGAGTAGGTGATAAGTTCTGTCTCTGGGTCATGCTGCCTTGAGGAGGGAGGGAGGCTTTATGGGAATCTACAGTTTCTCAGTTGTCATTCAGATGAGCCCTTCCTTGGTCATGTTGTGCCCAGGCCTCTTTCACAAAGCCCCATTCCAAGATGCCTAAGGACTGTCCTGGCTTTTCTTGGCCTCAGTGTCCTCGTGAATGGGGAAGAGTGGAGGTGGGGATGGACGGACTTCCAGAGATGGAGTTTGCTGAGCTGTTTGGCATGAAGCAGATGAGAGCTGGTGTCAGTCACCTAATTCTCTGACTACATTAGGATAAAATATGTAGTCTTCAGTTGCCTCGGAAAGTGTTAGCATGTTCTTTCCACTGGCAAATTCCTACACCCCAAGGATGATGAGGTGTTTATGCAAAGGTAGGTGTGATGGAAGGCAGAGGCCGGGGATGCCACCGGGGGATTGATGGGGCTGTTTTTCTGGAACATGGAGCCTGGCATTTATCACACCGGTTTAATGTGCTTTCCTAAACCAGTGCCACAGGTAGCCTTCCAGTAAGTGACACTTTGAGTCTTGGAAGATTTGTGAGCTGCTTTTCCTCTTGTTTACCTTGTTGCTCCCTTCATTAGGATAATTATCATTCCATATGGTCATGGTCTGTGGTGTAGTTGTTGCTAACCTGCTTGTAAAGTCTATGTCTCCATTTCTTACTGTTTGTGTCCCTAGAACTTGGGGCCTTTGCAAGAGAGAATGGACAAATAAATGAATGGTGGATGAATGAAAGCTTTAGCTGTTAGTTGGGAACTCTTCTGCAAGTGACAGAACCTGAAGTGAAATTGGCTAGCATGGTGGTGGTGTGCTGTGGGGCCAGTTCGGGCTGAAAGCCCAGCTACCCTGTAGAGCGTTTCTGAGGCTGTACATCTTTATGAGAGCAGAAAGCATCATCTTTATCCCATGGAATGCATGGTGGACTGGACTGGAGCTGCTGACTTTATGGGTAGCAGCCCAATGTGTCTAACCCGCTGCTTCACCAGAGCTCCTTCACCTTGGCTATAGTAACAATTTTTTCTAACGTGATAAAATATTTATGATGTAAAATGTGCCATTTTAACTATTTTGAAGTATACAATTCAATGGCATTATATTTATATTCATAATGTCATGTACCCTTTACTGCTCACTGTTTCCAGAACCGTAAACAAGATTTTTGAGTCACAGAACTGGAAAGTCTAGGGATGTATTTGTTTTAAGCCTGGCTGGGGTTTCAGGCATGGCTGGATCAAGGTGTACCACAGCTATCTTAGGAATAGCTCTCAGTTTCTAAGCTCTTTCTTTCAGTGAGATTTTTTTCTTTCATCAGACAGGTGCTTGCTATAGTAAAGTGTCTGCTAGCCATGGGCAGAGAGCCCTTTGCCTATGAGTTCCTGAAAAGTTGTAGAATTGAGTCTCATTAGTTATGGTTGGCCAGGTGTTGTAGTTGGGCCCTGTGGCCAGGGCTGGGGAGTTGAAATGTTTCCTTTGGTCGAGTCTGGGTCATGTTGGCCATGCGTCCCTTGGAGTTGGGAGAGGGGAGCTGCTGAGGTTGAAGCTCATAGACTAAGATTAAAGAAGGTTCTGTTCCCAAAGGAAAATTGGGGTGCTGATCAGGAGAGCAAGTCAAACTAAGAGATTCCACGTAAGAGAAATCAGGACTTGGGTTGATGGTGAACTGGAGTCCATGTGTTTAACACCATTCATAGCATTAATAATGGAGGCAATATTGGCACTTTGAGGAGAACACGTCTTCATTAGGTGTGAAGTGTTTTCAACCATAACAAGGCAATGATAAACCTCAGCCCCTTCCCCCGCCCCATCTGATGACAGCCTATGTGACCCATTTCCAAATACCTCCTGCTAGAGAACCTGGTTGGAGTCCTGGGGTGGCACTGTGGGTTAATGCGCCAGACTGCATAGCCACTTGAACTGCAAGGTTGGAGGTTCAAGCTCACCATCTGCTCCTTGGAAACCCTATACAGAGTTGCTGTGGGTCGGAACCTACTCGATGGCACTTAACAACTAACCACCAGCCCTTCCTTGGAAACCCTATATAGGGTCGGTGTGAGTTGGAACTGACTCGACAGCACTTAATAACAAGAGAACCTGGTTTGTGTCCATATTCTCAGGATTGCCACAATTATCTAACTTGCCACTCCCTGGCAGAGTGTGTGACACACTAGGTGCTCAGTCATTGACTGACCTCCCCTTCATTCAGAAGTTAGAGCTGTTGTCACTTTGGTACTTCTCTCTGTATACCCTGTGCTCCAGAAGCCACCCCGTCAATTGAGCCTCTAGTTGCCAGAGATCTGAGATGATCTGGTGGTGAGCACCTGGGCCTGCTTTTCTCCTCTGCTAAGAGGATGCCTTAGGCAAACACATCCGTCCATCCATCTGTCCTTTCATACATACATCTATCCATCCAAACATCTCTCCTTCCTTCCATCCGTCCGTCCGTCCATCCATCCATCCACATATAATTCCTTCCTTTCTTCCATCCATGCAAACACCCATCCAAGCATGCATTCAAATATCCATGCAAACGTCCTCCAAACATCCAAGCATGCATTCAAATATCCATGCAAACGTCCTCCAAACATCCATACATGCAAGCATCCATGCGTATGTACATCCAAACATCTTTCCATGCAACAAATACTGAATATGAATAGTGAACTCCACACATAACATTCTCTACCCTCCTGGATCATTCATTCTAAAAGGAAAAGACTCAACAGTAAATAATGTCGTTGTTGTTAAGTGCCATAAAGTCAGTTCCAACTCATAGTGACCCTGCATAGGGTTTCCAAGGAGCGGCTGGTGAGCTTGAACCACTGACCTTGTGGTTCAAACCGACTTTGCAGTCCAGCACATTAACCTCAGTGCCACACCAAGTTTCCACAATAAATAATACAGACATGACAAATCTTTCCACGTACTAAACTGTCATAAGTGCTATGGGGAAAAATAGGTTCAGATGAGAGGACAGGGAGGGCTTGCATCTTTGAGCAGGATGATTGAAGGCCTCACTGAGGTCACTCAGGTAAAGGCCTGAGTGAAGGAAGTGAGAGCATGCGTGCAGAGGCCTTTAGGCAGGCTCGCCTGGTGCCTGCAGGACAATTACAAGAGATCAGCAGAGCTGCAACAGATGTGTCAAGGGGATGCCAGACACGTTACAGAGAAGGCAGAATCAAATCGGTGATTGGGTAACTTAGGCTGACTTTGGAGAAGTTTTGATTTGTTTCGTTTTTAACGTATTATTTTTTATTGAGATACAGTTCACCATTTTGTTGTGTATCATTCAGTCCAAAATGAGGACAGGAGCTTTCGTGCACCTGCTGGGGACTGGGGTTTTTCCAAAGGGCTAATGATCTCATGAATCAGGGGATTTTGTGGATACCTGCCTTTCACCTCCCATGGCAACACCTGGCATTGTTCTCTGCCCAACAAGGGATGGATGGAGCAGAGGGGTGGGCAAGGCAGGCCGATCCAGTTCGTGTTGAGGTGGAAATCCGCCTGCTGCCTGACCTAGAGTTCTTTCTCCTGTTTATGCTGCCACCTGAATCTTGCTCCGATAGTTAGGGTCGGCTCTGCGCTTCCTTGTGAAATCCCTGAAAAACCAACACAGGATTTGACTGAAGTCGTCTTTGTCTGTGGGAAAGGGACTGGCATCAGTACATACCTCGGCTGTTAATATTTGTCCTTCGTTCTTTTCTCTCCATTTTTAATTGTTTTTGTCCCCGAGCATAAAATTTTATATTATTTAGAAGGAACTTTAAAGAGTACATTATCTCTTCGCCCCTGCTTTTACAGGCGAGTCAACTGAAGCAGAGGAGCGGGGGCAGGGGACATGGCCAAAGTCTTATTTATTCAAGCTTTCTGTATGGAGTGAACAATTATGTGCAGGATAGAGTTCCTGCCAAAGGAAGGGAGGCAGATAATAGATAAGTTAATATATTTAATAAATTTGCCAAATAACTCGAATGCTATAACAGATATGAGTGTTAGAAAGGAAATAAAAAAAGACCCAGGGCACCAGGCTTTTCCTGTGGTTTGGGGTGGAATGGTGGGGTTGGGTGGGCAGGCCTCTCTGAATGAAGGATGTGGTGGGTAACCAGGTCCCTGGTCTGGGTGGAAGGAAACTTCCAGGGATACAGGCCCAGAGGTGGGATTGAGTGGTTCTGAGGAGGAACAGCGAGGATGTTGGGAGAGCGAGCTGCTAGCAGAGACCAGGGCTTTGGACTCCTGATGATTTGTCCAGTTGGCTTGCTGAGTGACGATTGCACACCTGTAGTCTTCCTCATCCTCCATGGGGGGTGGTATGGATGCACCGAGGCTAGAGTGGGTCTGCCTCTACCTCATGCAAGGACAGATGTCAGCGTCTGTGTTCTGCTTCCAGGTGGCTCTATCAACGTTTGCCGTCTACGTGACCATTGATGAGAGCAACATCCTGGATGCCAAGAAAGCCTTCGTGTCCTTGGCCTTGTTCAACATCCTGCGCTTCCCCTTGAACATTCTCCCCATGGTCATCAGCAGCATCGTGCAGGTACAGGCGGGGCGTGGAGGACTTTCCAGGGACTCTGTGAAGTGCCCTCGATGCAGTTTTCTCTAATCACACCTCCCACTCGGCCCCTGGGCTTGGCGAGGACCAGACCTGTTGCTTTCCTACCCTTTGTTATCCAAGTCTGAAACTTTGAAATTACCTAAGGAATTAAGGAAAGGAACCCTGGTGGGGGTGTACGGTACACACTGGACAACTAACTGCAAAGTCGGTGGTTCAAACCCACCGGCTGCTCTGAGGGAAGGAGATGAGGTTGTCTACTTTCATAAAGATTAACAGACACAGCGTTGATGTGAGTCTGGAATCTCCTCAATGACTGTAGGGTTTTTGATTTTAAGTAATAACATCTTCATTGAAGATAAATATGAAAATGCAGAGTGGCATAAGAAAGAGGCATAAAAAACTGTTCATAATCTGTCCTACCATGTTCCATGAGTGGTTTGCTGCATCACCTCCCAGATATTTTTCCAATTTTTTTAAATTGTGACAAAAATCTATATAACAAAACATTTGCCAGGTCCGCTTTGTTTTGACCTGTACCTCTCAGTGCCATTGTGAGTCCATGCAGTACAGCTGCCATGATCCACTTCTAAGTGGACCACCAAAGCTCAGTGCCCCCCTACTCATCTTCTCCCTCCCACTGCCCTCAGTTACCACGAATATGCTTTGGTCTCTATGTGTTTGCCTGTTTAGGTATCAAATGCATGGACTTCTTTTGGGATCATGCATCAAGTAAGAAATGCATTTCAGTTCTTGGTTAGGAACCTCACCTTGTGTGTGTGAAACAGAAGTTTATTGCAACAAGACTTTGCCTTGCTCTGAGAAAGTCATCTTGAAATTGTGTTTTCTGTTCTGTTCTGCTTTGTCCTGGCCTGGCCTTCCCGATACTATACTATCCTGTTTCTGTAAAATGCACCCTGTGCGTTTCACTGCCCACTGTTAGGTCTTGATGCATCATTTGAAAATTCCTGTCTGTGGAGTCCCTGGGTTAAGTGCTTAATTAGTAACCAAATACAACCAGGGGATTGGTGGTTCAAACTCATACAGATTCCTTGGAAAAAAGTTGTAGCAGTCTGTTCCCAAAAGATCACAGCCTCGCGCACCCTCTGGAGCAGTTTCATGCTGACACAGACAGTTTACCATGAATTGGGATTGACTTAACATCAGCTGTGGTTAGTTTTTGGGTTTTTTTTGAGGGGGAGTGGCAGAGCTGGGTAGCTGGAATGCGGTAGCTCTGTAGGATAAACCCTGGACTGTAAACTACAAGGTTGGTGGTTCAAGTTTACCAGCTGCTCTGCGAGAGAAAGATGAGACTTCCTGCTCTTACAGATATTTAAAACTTCGGAAACCTCATATAGGGTTGCTATGAGTTGGTACAGACTCGAGGGCACTTAACAACAGCTACAGACCCCCCACTATTGAAAACCCAAACCTGTTGCTGTGGAGTTGATTCCAACTCCTAGCAACCCCGTGGGGCAGAGGAGAACTGCCCCTCAGGGTTTCGGGGTCTGTACATCTTTACTACAGTGTGGAGCAGCTGGTGCCTTTGAACTGTTGACCTTCTGCTCAGCAGTCGAGGACTTAATCACTGTGCCACCTTGGTACCTTGGTAGGTCCCCAAGAGTATCTAAAATGTGTGTAGCTGACTCTCTGAGGAGGGACAATTGTCTGTTCTGTGACCCTTACACTATTTGAGGTGGCTCCGACCACTTTTCTGCCACCAGCGTTTTTTACACTTTCTAGTATTATACACATTCATTTTGGAAAACTCCGGTTTCAGCCATATAGAGGAATTTGCTTTAAGATGATTTTTCTGGTTATAGGTAGGCATCTTTAAAAGAGTCCTGGTGTGGTGCTGTGGGTTAATGTGCCCGTCTGCAAAGCTCCTTGAACTGCAAGGTCAGCGGTTCAAGCTCACCAGCTGCTTCTTGGAAACCTACACGGGAAACCTACACAGGATCACTATGGGTCTGAATTGACTCAACAACAAGAAGGCATCATTAAAAATACAAATTCTTTATTATGAGAAATTTCAAATGTATACAAAAGTGGAGAGAATAGTGCCATGAGCCCCCACATAGTGCCCCCCCAGAGATAACACTCTCGCCTTTTGCCACATTACTTCCTGTAACCCTTTCATTCCCTCCCTCCTCCTCGCCTTTTGCCACAATACTACCTGTAACCCTTTTATTCCGTCCCTCCTTCCCTCCCTTTCTATGCTGAAGAAATTTTAAGCAAATCTCCGACCTCACGGCATTTCACTTTTTACATAACTGTAATGTTTTTCTCATATATAACAAAATTAACAGTGATTTCTTAAAATAAAACAACACATTGCCATCAAGTGGATACCGACTCATAGTGACAGTGGAACCGCCTCGTAGGGTTTCTAGAGCTGCCATCTTTACAGGGAACCCAGGGGCTCTGTAGGGTAAGCATGGGACTACACACCACAAGATCGCTCTGCGGGAGAAAGAGGAGGCTTTCTCCTCCTACAGAGATTTACAGCCTCGGAAACCCTATACCAGGTTGCTATGAGTTGGAACCGACTTGACAGCACCTGATAACAACGACAATCTTTATAAAAGCAGTGGTGGGTTGAAACCACCAACGTATTGGTTAGCAGCTGACTGCTTAACCACTGTGCCACCAGGGCTCTGTAACATAACATGTTACATTAGAATTGCATTCGAATTCTCTATGTTGTCTGTGAGGGGCTGGACCAGTCAGGACAGATTGCATTTGGCTGGTAGGATTCTTATGTTCCTTTTTTTTTTTAAAAAAAACTGTTGTAACGATAGGCATTTTTCAGCTGTACCATTTAGTGGTATCAGTTGTATGGTATGATTCATGGGGTGCCACCATCACTCATTGCTCTTGTTAATTGCCATCAAGCTGGTTTGACTCACAGCGACCCTGTATGGTGTTTCCTAAGAGCAGCTGGTGAGTTTGAACCTCCAACCTTACAGTTCAAACTGACTTTATGATCCAGTGCATTATCCTACAGCGCCACACCAGACTCGTTGCCAAATTTCCTATGTAGGATAAAACTCCCCTGGCTACCTTTTTCTTGCTACCCACAAGCTTTTAAAGGAAGACAAACAAGACCCCCAAAGTGGTTTTACTTTTCATTCACAAATGTACATTTGTTGTAGGAAACTTTACTGAATTTGGCAATAAAGGTGCGTGGGGTCCGACCCCTGTGCACCCAGGGGTGACCCTTGAAACGCTAGCTTGGCTGTGTTTGGTTGGGGTGCCTGTATGTTTTTTTGTTAGAAATGCTTTTTAAAAAATAACTACAGCCTTTGTTTGCTCTCTGTGTAGGCAAGTGTCTCCCTCAAACGCCTCCGGATCTTCCTCTCCCACGAGGAGCTGGAGCCTGACAGCATCGAGCGGCGGCCTGCCAAAGAAGGTACGTGTCGGCCTGTCAAGTCCAGAGGGCAACTTCTGTCAGTGGCTCCTTCTTCCTCACTGCCTCTGGGGCTAGCTCCTCCTGGCAGCTCATCTGCAGGTCTCTGTAGAGGGGAGCAGAAGGCAGGGGAAAGCCCATCTCCTGGCTTACACATTCCAGGAGAGGGGGAACTCCCATGTTGGCTCACTTGCTGAGAGGTGAGGCTTCTGATTCGAGACCCGAGGCCCTGGATCCACTCAGAATGGTTGGACAGGCACACGAGGGCTTGGGAGCCTGACCAGCCTCTCCACTACCCACTGACTGTGTGCATTGAACAGGTTACTTCACTGCTCCGAGCCTTAATTTTTTCATCTGAGTAATGGGAGTGAAAGTGCCTTCCTTGGTGGAATTTTATTAGTAGTTCTGTTGATTTTGTAGCTTATTAATTTATCTTTTTCTAGTAGACTGCCCAGAGCAGGGATCTTCCTCACAGCTGAATCTCCACATACCTAAATAAATTAATAAACATTCGTGCTCACCCCATTTGTGGTCTGTTCTGAGACTGTAAACACACTGTCTCTATCTCTCTGACCTTCACCATGACCCTCTGAGTGAGGGGTTATCACACGCCCATTTCACAGATGGGAAAACTGTCACAGGTAACTTGCCTCAGATTGCACAGTTAATGGGTTAAGACAGGATTTGCACTCAGAACCTAGTCGCTGCTGTGCTGAAGTTTATTAAGCACCTACTGTATGCCAAGCATTCTACTTTTTTTTTAATTGCATTCAATGCGATTTTTCATTTCAGTTACCCATAAAACAAGATAACAATAAAGAGTCCCCACTGAATAGTTTTCATCTTGTCTAGATGGGTCTGGTGAAAAGAGATGGGGATAAGATTCTTAGGATTCAATAGTGAGTAATTGTTATCCTGACTAATTGCGACTGTCACAACTGTAAAGGTAGAAGTTTTGTAACAAAAATGGGGGAGTAGTTTATCTTAACAGCCCAGAAACAGAGTCCCCTAGGACCATCAAGGGAGAAGAGCACGAGCAGAATGGAGGCAGAGATGAGGACATGGAGAGAGGGAGCAGCTGAGGACTCTACATTCATGGAAAGAGAAAGGCTGTTTGCTGGTGGCCAGGAAGCAGGCTTGCAGAATGTGCCCTTTGGTTGTTTAAATGATTATATATTCCTGAGTGTTTTTGTGTACAAGACACAAAAAACAACAACAAAATAGCATTTCTTTTTCTGTCAGATTAATCTATCACTTATTTCTTTTAAAAATATACCATACCCATATTTAAAAAATAAAAACAAGATTGCAATAATTCATAAAAATACAAAGTTTTAGGGTGCCATTTGGGGTGGTGCTGCAGGATAAACATGGGACTGCTAACTGTAAAGTCAATAATTCAGAGCCACCAGGCACTCCCATATACAGGGTCACTGTGAGTTGGAGCTGAGTAGACAGCAGTTATTCATTTAAAAAAGATGTGTTTGAACTAAAAGGTTGTTTGGGTCAACTTCCATTTTTGTTAAGAGTTAAGTTCCAAACTGTACAAAGGTGTTGGTGAAAAACAAGGCTAGATGAAAGAAAAGAAAAAAAAAAAGACTCCAGGAATTGAAAGAATACAAATTAAAGATGTTTCAACAAATGACTGCAACTCTGGAAGCATTAGCTCATCTGTGTCAAGAAATGTGGAAGACACCTACATGGCCAATTGACTTGGAAGAGTTCATTTTTTTCTTTTTTTAATTGTACCCATCAGACAGAAAGGTGACCCAACAGAATATGGGAATTATCAAACAATATCATTAATGTCACAAGCAAATAAAATTTTGATGAAGATCATTAAAAAAAGGTTGCTGCAGTATATTGGTAGGAACTACTGGGAAATTAAAGCTGGATTCAGAAATGGTTATAAAATGAAAGATAGTGTTTCTATGTCAGATGGCTCTTGACTGAAAGCAGAGAATGCCAGAAAGATCTGTTTTATTGACTATGCAAAGGCATTTGACTGTGTGGCTCATAAAAAATTATGGATAACGTTGCAAAGAGTGAAGAGTGGGAATTTCAGAACACCTAACTGTGATCGTGGATTTCTGTTTGGTGCTGTGGATTAGCACTCGACTGCAAACTACAGAATTGGTGGTTCAAACCCACCAGCTGCTCCTTGGAAACCCTATACAGTGTCACTATGAGTCAGAACTGACTTGACGGCATTAAACAACAAATTGTGATCATGAGGAACCTATACATAAGACCAAGAGGCAGGCGCTTAAACAAAACAAGGGGATACTGCATGGTGTAAAATCAGGAAAAATGTGTGTCGTGATTGTATTCTTTCCACATACTCAGTCTGTATGCTGAGCAAATTATCAGGAAGCTGGATGGAAGACATGGCATCAGCATTGAACGAAGACTTAATAACAGCCTGTGATATGCAGATGACATAACCTTGCTTACTGAAAGTTAAGAAGATTTGAAGCAATAACTCAGATAAAAAATTGTAGCCTTCAGTATGGATTACACCACAACATAAAGAAAACAGAAATCCTCACAACCAACAAGCAGGAAATTGTCAAGGATTTCATTTTACTTGGATTCACAATCAATGGTCATGGATGCAGCAGTTAAGAAATCAAACGACATATTGCATTGGTCAGATCTGCTGCACAAGGCCTCTTGGGCAAAGATGTCACTTTGAAGACTACAGTACACCTGACCCAAGCAATGGGATTTTCAGGTACCTCATATGCATGTGAAAGCTGAACAATGAATAAGAAAGACTGTAGAAGAATTGATGTCTTTGAATTAGGATGTTGGTGAAGAATATTGAAAATATATACCACTGACTGTCAGAGGAACAAACAAATGTGTCTTGGAAGATGTGCAGCCAGAATGCTCCTTAACAGTAGAGAATGGCAAGACTTTGTCTCATATGCTTTGAATGTTATCAGTAAGGACCAATTCCTGAAGAAGGACAGTATTATGCTTGATGTAAGGTAAAATAGACGGTCAGCTCCAACGAGGAGGACCTTTAAGGAGATGGATTGTCACAGTAGTTAAAACAGTGATCTCAAACATAGCAATGATTATGAGCTTGATGCATAGCCAGGAAGTGCTTCGTCCTGTTGTATCTGGGGTCACTGTGAGTTGGAACCAACTTGATGGCAACTATTAACAACAAGAAGAAACTTCCACAGTAAGATATCAAAGACATAAAGATTTTTATTTTTAAAACTTCAAATATATAAAGTAGTTCTTCTCAGAAATTTAAAAGTACACTACCATTTAAACTAAATACTAAGTTACTATTTTGTATGATTGCTTCATAACTTATTACAAGGAACTACTCCATTCATTGAAAAACTGAAGGAATTATCAATTTTCTTGGCTTATTTTTCTCAGCACCATTAGTTTATGTTGTTGTTAAGTGTCATCGAGTCAGTTCTGACCCATAGTGACCCTGCATATAGGGTTTCCAAGGAGTGGCTGATGAGCTAGAACTACTAACTTTGCTGTCCAGCGCATTAATCCACAGCGCCTCACCAGGCCGCCCATTAGTTCATACACATATTTTTGCGTTAGTTTATAAGCATAGTTTTTTTGTTGTTACACTGAAAAGTGACAGTATCCTTGTTCACATTTGTTGTTGTGAAGTGCCGTTGAGTCCGTTCCTTCTCATAGTAACCCCGTCTAGGGTTCCCAAGGAGCAGCTGGTGGGTTTGAACTGCCTACCTTGCAGTCCAATGCATCATCCTGCAGTACCACACCAGGACTCCCTAGTTCACATAAAGCCCTTTAAAAATCGAAAGCTCAGGTTGTAGATGTTCTGGGTGAATAAGGAGTCCTGGGTTGGTGCTGTAGGACAAGCACTGGACTCTAACTGCGAGGTCGGCAGTTCAAACCCACCAGATGCTCCTCAGAAACCCTATACAGGGTCGTTATGAGTCAGAGCTGACTCAACAGCACACCACAACTCCTTAGGGAGATCGTCTTGGTAAAGAAGAGTTCCATATGCCCCTGTGTTAATAGCCTTATTAACGTTCCTCACAGCCCAAGGAGGTCAAATCATCTCCCATCCTGTTTTAAGCTGAGGAACCTGAAGCCCAGAGTGGTTTAGTGACTCCCCGACAGCCCAGCATGGGGATTTGATCCCACGAAGTCTGCCTGCAGAGCTCAGTCAGTACTGCCAAGGAAAAGTGTGTATGTTTGTATGTTAGTTTGATGTGTGAGCAGTACCTGACAATTGGTAGATTCCAGCGTGTCTTCCATGTTACCCTCGTTCCTGGTGTGTAGAAGATGCCAGACAGAGGTTCACGGAGTTGGGGTTTGTTTAGCGCATGTCTGTCACACGTTGAGTCAACCTCTAGAGCAGGGTTCTGTTGGAGCCTCTTCCTTCTTTGTTGTGGGGTGCATCTGTGCATCTATTATTTAGGATGTTGAACAGCATCCCTGTCTTCTACCCATTAGATGCCAGTAGCAGAATGTTCCCCCTCGAGCTCTGACAACTGAACTTGCCTCTTGGTTATTAGTTGCCATTGTTTGATTACGTTTCATGGTGACTCAGGTGTGCAGAGTAAAACGGCTGCACCGTAGGGTTTTCAGCACTGTGGGAGCAGAGCACCAGGCCTGTCTTCCAAGGCACCTCGGGACAGGTTAGAACCTCCAGCTTTTCAGCTAGTACTCGAGTGCTTAACTGTGTGCACCACCCAGGGACTGCCTCCAAATTGCCAACTGTCCTTCAGGGGGCCAGTCACCCCCCAGCTGAGAATGAGTTCCCTAGTGGATGCTGTGATCTTCCCCTCAACATCCCTGGCCTGTGGTCACCTGATTTCTGCCAGTAACAAGTCCCTGGGTGAGCACCATGTGAACAGTGTCATCAGCCCCAGGGGCCAATTTTTTGGCAAAATTGAGGGGCTGAAATTCGAGGTGGCTGGTGGAGGTTTAAAGTTCCTGCTGAGCTGGGGTTCATGGGAAAACCCCTGGCCCGCCTCTTGCTGTCTGGGCCTCCTCCCTGCCCTTGTGGGTGCCCAGGGCAGCTGTCCTTTGAGGCTGCCTTGAGGCAGGTCTTCCCTACTGGTTAGCTTCCTGACCCAAGCACCTCCCAGTTTCCATCTTAGTGAGGGAGGAAGGTTCGGTTAGCCAGTAACTTCCCTTACCCCAAGCTTTTTATCTCTAGTATGTGTGTGCGTATTATTCATTCAGTTGTCCACTTAAAAAAACACCTTCCCCTCCCTTGTCTCCAGGTGGTTTTAAGGAGACTCATTGTTAAGAGATGATTTAAAAAAAAAAAAAAAATTTTTTTTTCTTTTAATGAGAGGGTTATAAAAGGAAAGCAGGGGGAAGAAAAGTAAACGAAGACAGGTGCTTGGAGGCTTAGAATCACATGGAGTCATGTACTAATGTGGTATCTTAAACCCAGCCCTCCCTCCCCTGTGCCTTAAAACCACACTTCCTGTTCTGAAGCCAGCTCTCTCTAGTTGTTTTGTGACGAGATTGGCTTGCTGTACCTTGCTGTGGAGGCCAGGAGATGCTAGCAGGCTGCCCCCCTGTGGAGGGGTGAAGGGCCCTGCTTTAAAGGAAGGGGGGGGCTCTGGTTTCAGGTTCCTCATTAACCTTTGCTTCTTGTCAGCCCTTCCAGCCATAGCTGTCCCAGGCAGGCTGAAGGGTTCCTGGCTTCAAGTTACCCTGTGAGCCCACCCATCTCCTGGGTCGCACATCTGGTGATGCTAACATCTTGTGGTTTCCTTCTGCGTTCTGGGTGTGAGGGTTCTCTCAGAAACAGGCTGATGTAACCCCAGAATGTCTAATGCCAGGTGTTGAAACACTTGGTCAGAAACAAGAACAGTGAGAACACGCTGTGCTGTCTTCTACCCCTGATGTGCTGTCTCTGATATGCTTTCCAGGATCAGGGACTTGCAGCGTCACCGTGAAGAATGCCACCTTTACCTGGGCCAGGGGTGACCCGCCCACGCTGAATGGGTAAGCCGGGACGTACATGCATGTGTGGCTTTGAATTCTAGCCATACTACCTCTGCGACATTCCTGAGCTTCGGTGTACCCGTCTGGAACGTAGGTCAGTCCTACCTGCTTCACCTGTTCTAAGGAGCAGATAGTGTGTACCTGGCACAAAGAGCTCCTTGTAATCGTTAGCTGCAGGAAGCTTTTGTGTGGAGTAACTGAGATATGTCCCCTTTTCACATCCGGCAGCACTGTGGAACTCAAATGATGCCCTCAGGACTTCGCTCAGCTTTGTTTTGCTCTGGGGGTTTCTCCCCTCATGGTAGCAAGTGGCCCCCAGCCACTGCAGGTGTGCCTCTCATCTCTCTAGCTTACCTGGCCACAGTGGGTCAGTAGCACCTCCCTGAGCCCCCATCATGTGCCAGCAGGGACAGAACACAACTGATTGGCCAGCAGGCCCGAGGTGGTAAGCCTGCCAGGATGGACCTGTCCTTTCTTGAGGTCCCAGGGCCATGTACTCACTGCCTCCCAGTGTGATGCCTCACCCACCCCAGACCTGATCTTTGCCAAGCATGTAGTTCAGTGCTTCTTTCAGGCCTCTTTATGGTGTCCCCGTAACGGGACCTGTGCATTCATCTAGGAGGTAGAATTGTTCCCTTACCCAGAGGAGCATGCAGGGCACAAAACTTCAGAGAAAGGAGTCTGCATCAAACATCCCCTGAGGATTTGTGGCAGAACTGCATTTCTGGGAAGTTCTTTCTTAGGTCTCACTTAAATCCTGTATGCTTCAGTTTAGCTTTTCTTTCTTATTCTGCTCCCCAACCAAATAAGCTATATCTGTGCTCTCTTCAAAGGTGCCTTGGTGGAGCAGTATTTAAGCATTTGCCTTAAGCATTAGCCAAAAGGTCAGTGGTTCAAACCCCACCAGCCGCTCTGTGGGAGAAAGATGTGGCAGTCTGCTTCCTTAAAGATAGTGGTTAGGTGCCATCAAGTCAGCTCTGATTCATAGTGACCCTGTGCACAACAGAACGAAATACTGCCCTGTCCAGTGCCATCCTCACAATTGTTGTCGTGTGTGCATCCATTGTTGCTGCCATTGTATCAGTCCGTCTCATTGAGGGTCTTCTCTTTTGAGCTGACCCTCTACTTTATCAAGCATGATGTCCTTCTCCAGGGACCGGACCCTTGTGATAGATAACATATTCAAAGTCCATGAGACAATTTCTCATCATCCAGGAGCATTCTGGCTGCATCTCTTCCAAGACAGATGTGTTTGATTTCAGCCTTGGAAACCCTGTGGGGAATTCTTCTTAGTCCTATAGTCTCACTATGAGTCAGAATCAGCGTGGATTAAGTTTGTTTTGGGGGTCCACATCCTTTCGTCCATCCTACCAGTCTTAAAGACCCTCTTCTTTAGAGCTGTCTTGCCTTCTTGGACCTTCAAGTTCGTTCTCTATTCAACCATTTCCACATCACATCTGGGCAGTGGCATTAGCCATCTGACCAGCTTCCTTCCTTCATCTTCACTCCTCAAATACAGATAATTAATTAAGTGGCTGAGTTGTAGAATTGCCTCTGATGCATGGAGCCCTTACACACAACGGAAGGAAACGCTTGTGGCCCAGGGCTGTATAATCCTTACACTGGTCAGCAGGTTCTAGTCCTTCACTGTGGTTCTGATACCACTTCAGGTCTCCAAGGGTCTCCCCTCACTGGCCCTTGACTTCACCAAATACAATGTCCTCCAGCAGCTGAGCCCCACAAAGTTCTCACTGGCTGATTTTCATAACTAGATCCTTAGACCTTTTTTCATAATCTACCTTTATGCGGAGGCTCTGCTGACCCCTGCCACAAAGGTAGCAGTCAGCATGAACTGCAGATCTGCACTTTTCTTTGTTTTGGTTCAACTTTTAGCCAACCTCCCATGGAGCACTCACTTCTTCCTCTGACATCACCACCTGGATGGAACTCCGTCAGAGCGCTCAACATAAAATGACAGACGGCCAAATAGGCAGATGCCAGCGACAAACTCGGGGTCCCCACTGGACTCCCTGATTTCTGACTTCCTGGGTCCCACAACTACTTTCGGTTTGTTAATTTACTGGAACAATCCACAGAACTCAGGAAAAGCAATGTACTTTGATTTCAGCTTTATTATAGGAGAAAATGAGGTTTACATGTGGTTGTTCTTATGTGCCGCGCGTCGGTTCTGACTCATAGCAACTCTGTATAGGGTTTCCCAGGAGCAGCTGGTGAGCTTAAACCACCAACCTTGCAGTTCAAGTGGCTTGGCAGTCTGGTGTATAAACCCACAGCGCCACACCAGGACTCTGAGGTTCACATAGACACACACAAAAGATACCAATGAAGAGATGCACGGTGAGGTCCAGGAGGGGTTCCCAGTGTGGAGCCTCCGCATCCCAGAAAGAGATGGACTTCCCTCTCACAGACGTGAATGTCGCTCACCAACCAGGAAGTCCGTGACGCTGCTGTGTTCACAGTTCTTCTAGAGGGTCTCATTAAGTAAATCCCAAATCCAGCCCCTCTCCCTTGTGGTTGACTAATACTGCGAAGTGATACGTGACGGGTCATTCTGACCTGGACAGCCCGCAGTCCGGAGTTACCACCTCCCCTCACCTCACCTCTTCAGTCAGTAGGGTCAAGAGTCCATATGAATGACACGTCAATGCCAGGGCTTTAGGGTCACCTTTCAAGATCCAAGGTATAAGGTCCAAGTACTTTATGATGGAGAGTTACGTCCATCCAGCTGATAAAACGTGCATTACCTACGGCTGCGCCTGTCCCAGCCTGTCACTGGGGCTGTAGTGACCGTTTTCATCTTCTGTGGCAGGTGCGTTACACAATTTCATCAAGATGGTCCCCCTGAGGAAGAGTTTCATTGACCCTCCCTCTGTCCTGGCTGAATCTTGTAGGAAAGAAAATGAAGTGGGTGAAAAACAATTCCACCCCAGAATCTAGTCAAGACAGCATCTTACTAGTATTGTAAGAAAGATAAAAACCTACACTTGCATTTATAATTGGAAGAAATCCTGTCTTAAAGATTTTTAATTTACTCACCTTTTCTTTTTGTTAAATGAACTAGGAATGTAGCAATCCTCGTATGCTGCTGTAGAATAATGCGCAAGGTGGGTTTGAACCGCCAGGTCAGCAGTTCAAGCCTACCAGTCACTTCTTAGAAACCCTATACAGGGTTGTTAGCAACAAAAACAACAGAAGAAAGTAGAGCAGGAGCTGGGTGGTTTCGTAGACTAAGCAGTGGACTGAAAACCACAGATTGACCCCTTTGAGCCCACCAGCTGCTCCGCAGGAGAAAGATGAGGTTTTCTGCTTCCACTAACATTACAACCTAGGAAACCCAGGCTCACTCTGAGTAGGAACTGACTCCGCATACTTAACAACAGCAATGTGCGTGTGTTTGGTGGTGGTGGTTGTGTGCCATGAAGTTGATTCTGACATATATGTATATGTGAGTGTGATGACCCCCATAGGATAAGCACTGAATTGTGAATCACAACATCGGCAGTTTAAGCCCACCAGCCGTCCTGAGTGAACAAGATAAGACGTTTGCTCTCGCAAAGATTTACAGCTTCAGAAACCCCATATGGAGTCACTGTCAGCAGAACTGACCCAACGGCACTTAACAGCAACAGCAGGAGGCACAGCAGCACTGAACATATTTGGCCAATTAACTGGGATGTCTCAGGAAACCATGATCTTAAGCCTCCCAGCCAAGGAACCAAATCCCAGGAGGTGTTTGCTTGTGTACACACAGCCTAGGCAGCTGCTCCTTAGTGTTGTTTTTGTAACTACAATGTAGGGAGTAGGGAGGGCTGTCAAAATGCTGATTCAATTTATGGAGCAGAAAGAAGCTTGAAGGGAAGCATCAAGATCAGGACTGGAGGATGGATGGGGTAATACAAGTGCCCATGATCATCCTTTGTCCTTAGGAATCCCCCCCCCAAAATAGTCGCTGTAACATTCTGAGCTGACTTCTGTGCCTTGCATTGAACTGGCCCTCAGAAAGAAGTGTTTTGATTGGACCTTTTTTGGAAGGCACCCTAATGAGACTAAGGCAAGTGTGTTACTGAGCAAACTCGTCTGCAGCCACCCATCATTGCAGAGACATCTCCAACATGATTTAACTAGAATAAACCCGTGTGTGGATGAACTGGGACCCTCGTAACCATGCTTTTGGACTTAGCTTTGCACATCTACCCCACATTTCCGTTGTACCTTTTTACAGGTGTGCCATTGATTGGCATCAGTGACATTAATCGGCTGTACAACCTTCGCCATTAGCCAGTATAGCGTTTGCATCGCCACAAACAGAAACCCTGCTCTGTAAACAATGAACCAGCCTCTTTGCTGCCTCTCTTCCACTCCTGGTAGCCACTGATCAGCTTTAGTCCATATACATTTGCCTTTTCTTCTCCTTTTTATTTTTAATTGGATCCGTGGGTTGTGCCCAAGGGTCTATAGAGTGTGTACTTTAATTTCCAAGTATTTCTTGAGTGTCTAATATTTCTGACTCCTAATTGTATTCCTTCCACCAGTCATCTGTCAGTTTGTCGTACTGTGGTGGTTTGTGTGTTGATATGATTCTGGAAGCTATGCCACAGGTATTTTAAATACCAGCAGGGTCACCCACAGTGGACACGTTTCAGCTGAGTTTCCAGACAAAGACAGACTAGGAAAAAGAAGAAATGGATTACTTCCAAATATTTGGTCACTGAAAACCTAATGAATTGCTGTGGAACACAGTCAGCACCAAAATACTGAATACTGAAACATGATGAAGAGCGCCAGAATGTTGTCAGATACAGTGCTGGAAAATGAGCATTGGGCCAATAAAAAACATCCATAAAAATGGAGAAAGATTGTCAAAGACTTCATTTTGCTTGAATCAACCATCAACACTCACGGAAGCAGCAGTCAAGAAATCAAACGACATGTATTACATTAGGCAAATCTGCTGCACCAAGACCTATTTAAAGTGTTGTAGAGCAAAGATGTCAGTTTAAGGACTAAGGTGCACCTGACCCAAGCCACAGTATTTTCAATAACCTCATATGGATGCGAAAGTTGGTCAGTGAATAAGGAAGACCATAGAAGTATTGATGCATTTGAGTTATGGTGTTGGAGGAGAGTATTAAAAGTACCATGGGCTAGAACAAACAGTTCTTTTCCAAAGTGTTGGAAGAAGTACAGCCAGAGTGCTCCTTGGAGGCCAGGATGGCCAAACTTCATCTCTCATACTTCAGACATACTATCAGGAGGGACCAGTCACTAGAGAAAGACATCATGTTTGGTAAAGTGGAGGGTCAGAGAACAAGAGGAAGACCCCCCCGTCCCATGAGATGGATTGGCACAGTGGCGGCAGCAATGGGCTCAAGCTTATCAATGGTTGTGAGGTTGGTGAAGGACTGGGCAGTATTTTGTTCTGTTGTGCATAGGGTCATTAAGAGTAGGTACTGACTCGATGGCCTAACAACAATCTTATTCCTAAGGAGCTCTGGTAGAGTAGTGGTTACAAATTGGGATGCTATCTTCAAGGTCAGCAGTTCTAAACTCCCAGCCGTTTAGTGGGAGAAGGATGAGGCTTTCTGCACCCGTAAAGATTTATAGTTTTGGAAACCCTATGCAAGGTTGTTATGAGTCAGAACTGACTCCACAGCAGATAACCACCACCACTAATCTTATTCCTGGTGTGGAGCTGTAGGATCAGCACTGGACTGTGGAACCACAAGGCCAGCAGTTCAAACCTACCAAGCTGCTCATAGGAAACCCTACACAGGGTCATTATGGGTAGGCAGCACCTCACAACAATCTTACTCAGTTATGGTAAAGAATTTTCTCTGTATGGTTTCAGTTCTTTGAATTTATTGATGTTTGTCTGAAAGGCCAGCATGTTTTGGTCCACATCCCAGGTGTAATTGAAAGGCTGTGCTTTCTGAAGTTGTAATGTAGTGTTCTCTACAATGTCAGCGCGCTCCCAGTGGGAACAGAGACCTTCATATCTTCTAGTTCTGAACTTTTTTTTATTTGGTCAACTTGGCCAGTCACTGAGAATGAAATGTCTAAATCTCCAATTACAAAATGGTGCCCTTTTTTTGTGTTTTGTTTTCCATTTGATTCTATCAGTTTTTACTGTGGGTTGGTGGTGGTGGTGGTGG